TAACTGTACAGTAACTACTTTCCCTTCTGCATTTCTGCATTAAGAAAATTTTCTCCAGGGAATTCAATTCAAACAGAATTAGGTCCTATATATGTGTGTGGAAAAGGAAGGAAAATGCATTGGCAGGATAAATAACTAAAGCTGGGAAGGAGGAAAGTCCCGTCTGCTCACAGGGGACCAGAAAAAAAAGCCAAACATCTGCAAGGTCCATCCAGTTCATCAGGCATCTGGCTTTGCCTTCCCAGTCTAAAACCTTTCCTGTTGCTCTTCTGGGGAGCAAGGCTTTAAGGGCCATAGTGGATTGAGTCAGCAGAGCTGTGCCAAGAGGTGGTGAAGTCAGGTGGTGAAGTGGTCTAAAGGAAGGACCTCTATGAAAGGGTGATTCTCCTTGTTTGTCTTTCTCTCTTTCTAGCCAACCTTGTTCTTATTTTGGGAGGAATAGGTCTTCCAAAACTGCAAAACGGTGTTTCTTTTGTGATTGTTACAATAATTGTCTTCATCTTTTATCTCTTGAATAATTTTTACTTGAAATTGAAATCATTCTTGAATAATTTCTTCTCTACCTAAATGTTACTTTGGTGTTTTTGAAGTACTGTAATAAAGGAGCACGTCTGACTATTGTGCAGCGCTCTGCAGGGAGATGAGTCTCCGGCATTGGAGCTGGGACTCACTGGACAAACTGCATGTGGAGAATAGTCTTTGGAAGTGCTTATTCACTGAAGCTGAAGTTATTTGCAAAATCACATTGGTTGGTTGGAGTTTCCTTTTCAAAGAAAAGGCAAAATAGTCTGCACAGCACTCAAGTGTCTTGGCTTCTTTAAAACAGAACTCTAAGCTATTCATCTCAAAAATTTCAAAATATTTCTTCTTTTTATGTATCGAATTTCATATAATTTAAAATAAAAGATTGAATTAATTATAGAGCAAAGAGCAGATATTGCAAACATTGTTGTGCATACTTTTGTCTTTGCTAGATTGATCCTGAACTCTATAATAGCATCACCCAGTAGGTTTCACAGGATTTTAGCTATTTTATCAACATGATTGTTTTAAATTGGTTTTCAGAGTGTTGTTTCAAATTGTCTTGCTACATCTGTGTTTAGCGTGACATTTTCATTGGAATTCTTTTTTTTTCTTTTTGTTTTGTAAGTTCTAGCCACTCTCACTTTGGGGAAACTGGGAATAAACTATTTTCCTGGGAAATAAGACTCCTAAAAGTTGTAGTGGGATTCTGTGCCTTCCAGTGAGCTGGCTTTAGGAGATTGGGAGTCAAATGGAAAAGCTTTCCCAGACCTGTCTAGCTTCTGAGGGAAAATAGGTGGAAACTCCCCAGCAGCTCTGCGGTGCTTTGCAGACTGCAGGGTGGAGATCGCTGCAGTTTAGTTCAGCTCTTCTCCAGGAAGTTTGGAATCTCCTTGTTCCTAATTTGGGATGGTGTGAAGGGCTCTTCCTTGGGAGGCAGTGGGGTACCACACTGCTATGCAGACGGGCGAGTAGGGAACCCGTTTCCTCACAGAAATGGTTGAAACCCTCCAAAAGCAACAACTTACAGATGTGTAAAATGCATCTTGGTGTTCATTTTGCTTAAACTCCCATCCTGGATGCACACGGGAGAGCCAGTGAGCAGTTCCAGTTGCTCTGCAAAGCTTTACAAGAGGGATTAAGAATACACCAAAGCGGTGCCGATGGTGGAGACCTGCTTCCATGGGGCCAGCAAGTTTAAGATGCAAATAGTGGTGTGAAAACTTTGTACATCATCTACACTTTTAAAAACAAACAAACAAAAAAACTCTTCGGAGTTGAGGTAGATGTTTGGTGGCCTATTGCTTACTTGATGATATCACAGGGAAATTACTGCTGTCCTCCCACCAAGTCCTTGCATGAGGCTGGCTCAAGGTCCCTATAGGAAAGGAAAACGCACCGTGTGGCTCCCTGCCACAGTCCTGGGGCTGCAGTACTGGGAGAGGAGCTGGCCTGGAGACCCTCGCTGCCGAGCTGGCAAAACCACAAGGGATACGGGGCTCCTGGAATGGGAAGGAGAGAAGAGGGAGGTTTCCTCCTGTGAGGCCAAGGCAGTGATTTCATCCTGTGCTTGTAAGAAGTTGGCAGAGTGCTTGGTGTTGACGTGGAGATTGAACAGTCTTCACTTGCCTGAGTCTTGACCTCCAAAAGCTGGAGCTCCAGCTCCAACCTTCCATGTGTCCTCTCCAACAGGAAGCCCTTGATTTAGACAACATCTGATAATGTCTTTATAGCTGTCAGAAGAGTTCACATGATTTGGCACACAAGTGGGAAGAATTTGAAGGAGATTCATCACAAGGCTGGACTTGGGGCATTCATTATTTGCAAGTTTTGTAGCCCCCTAAGGGAGATTTAAATGAGACTTTGGAGTTTGGAATTATCTGTTGCTCTCTTCAACTGCATAACAAATCACCTTTTGTTGCTCGATTTGAGGACTTCTAACAAACATGCAAATATTAATGAGCTGTTATAGCCATCCTCAGGAGCACGGATGGGTGCAAGTGAGCATTTAATGGTTGAACGATGTGTTAGCTTGTGTTCTAGGAAGCAGTGGCAGAGCTGAGAATATAGCACAGTTCATCCTGGGACGTAGGCTCCAACCGCTCAGTTCATCTCTCTTGTCTCTTGGTGAATATCTGCTTTTTCTCTCGGAGGCAGTGACCCTGGTGGCCCAGGAGGGAAGGATTAGCCATACTAAAATGAGGTGGGAAAATGCTGGTGTTCCGCTGTCACTCTAAGTTCTCTTGATTATCTCTCCTAGGGGATTTCCTGCCTCCACCTCCTCCTCCTGTTGATGATTTTAGGAATATGCCAGCGCCACCAGGTGCCTTCCCCCCACCGCCCCCTCTGGATGACGTTTCCTTCAACGTGCAGGTAAGATGACAAAAGTCTTATTATTAGAGCAGGAAATATCCAAAAGGAATTTGTAGAGATAAATGGTAGTTAATCAAACAAGGTGGGTGAAGTACTGTGGTTTGAGATCATGTGTTATGAACACTCAAATCAGCTTTAGGAATCTTTGTTTCCAAAGCAGGGGAATATTTCTATTTAAAAATTTGCTAGGCTATTAAAGGATTTTTTTTGCCGTCCAGCTTGAATTAGAGGACTAATTGCCTCGTGTTCTTGTGATAGTGGATGGGAATGAAGCCTTTCCAGAATTAATTACTTTCTGGAAGGCCCATCTTCTTCCTCTGACTGTGGAGAGACCTTAGGGCAGTAATATGATCCTAAAAGTGCTTTGCCTAAATTCCTAAAATTAAGTGAGGTAAATAAGCCTAGGCAGGGGTTCCAGCAATATCACCGAGACCCTTTTCACTCACTTCCTGCTGGATTGGATCCTCTAGTATTGCTGTCTGGGTGAAACTGCAACTTCTGGGTGCATCAGGCAATGACATTCCCTGTTTGCACAGGGAAGCATTAACACCTCTGTGCAAAAGTCACTGGCTCACCTGGAATGCAATTTATTGTTTCATTAGGTCAGGCACATTCAGGAAAGATGAATTCAGATTGTAGTGACTGCAGGGACAGGCTGTCAAGATGATCAAGGAGTGGGGAACTGATCTTGCTCGAGGAGACTAGAAGAGTTTGGTTTGTTAGCTGTGCAAAAGGGAGACTGAGAAGGGGGTAAACCTATGACTGCAAACTTTAAATACATCTGGGGAGGAAACATCAGGGAGGAGGAAGAATTACTGCAGCTCAAGGTGAGTTTAGATACAGGAACAGAAGGGGGTGAACTTACCAGGAATAGCTTTAGGCTGGTGATTAGAAAGTTTCTAACCAGGAGTGTGCAGGTCAGGAACAGCATTGTGGGAGGAATAGTGAGAGCAAAGGAATGGTCTAGATTTCAAGTTAATCGGGGTTATATAGCCAGGTGTGCTGAGTCACAAGAGGCTGCCCAGAGTGACCCAGGAAGGCTGTGGTGGTTCTGTATCCCTAAATTGAGATGAGAACAGCCTAGTAGACAGACATTAGATAGGACTGAAAAGCTTCAACTTCAGTTCCTAGCACTGCCAAAATCCAGAATAAATTTACCTACTTTATGCCTCTGTAAAAGGGAAATAACATTTCTCTCCCATGTGGGCTCGTTGTCTTTTGCGTTTTGCGAGATGTTGAGATGCTGTTACAGTGTCTTTCTAACTACATTCCTGCAATGGGTTAGGCGTTTTAAGTAGTCTTTGAGAGTGAAGGGGTTAATGGAAAGCGTGTTGCTTGTTGCCAGGAAAGGCTGCAACCACCAGGGACATTAGCCAAGTGAGGAGCATGGCTTTTCCCAGCCTTGGGGGAAAGAAGTAATTCCCTAGCAAGTGTTGTTCTGGCTGTTATCTCCAAGAGGAGCCAGCCTCATGGGAGCAGGGCTCAGACTGAGTTAGGAAGTGACATAGCAGCAGCCTGCTGGCTATGGACAGGGAGCTCTGCAGTTGCAGGCATGGGATGGGTCCCTTTGGCAGGCCATCGTGAAGGGTCCGTGTTGCCTCAGATGCTTCTCTGGGGAGATTCCCGCAGTGTGGGGAGATTCCTGTGGTGCCCGAGAAGGTGACCTTGCTGTGTTTATTGCAGTGGGCTCTGCTCGGCTCTCCGTTGTCACCTGATCCTGGTGCCTTCTTCATTCCTGCAACTGTCCAAAGAGCCTCTTAGGGCTTCCACTGAGACATGTCTCTTGGTAGAACCACCAGACAGGCTGTCTGTTCCCTGCTGAGCTCATGAAATTGCTATTTGTCACACCCTTTTTCTCTGGCTTGGGAGCGCCAGGGCTGGAGCAGTGCTAACAGGATGGTTTTGGCAGGCGTCTGGTTAGAGCAAGACTTCTTTGCATGGCAGCTTATTCTGAAGAAAGCAAGCCTTGGAGTTGCATCCCGCTGCTCCTGCTTATCACCACGTTCAGATTTACTCTGTGTAGCAGAGAAATCTCTGCTTTTAATCTGTGTTCTCTTGCCTTCTTTTCCCTTTTCCTTTCTGTTCCATACTCTGTGAAGGTGATCAAGAACTAACAAAAGTAAGTGCTAAATCAGGAGCCTGCAGGAGCTGTTGGTGCAAGATCTGCTCTTTATCTTGCGGGAGTAACAAAAATCGAACTGAAGTGAGAAGGCCCGAGAGATGAGAAGTGAAAAGGACAAATGGAAAGGGAAAAAAATGTGCAATGCTTGTTCAATGTTATTTTCTTGTTTATAATTCCAGTCAGAGGGTTCCTTTGGCATAGGGGAACAATTGATGGGTCTGTTCCTTCTGCTCTGTCTCCTGAAGGTGCTTGCAAAGCCCCGCAAGACATTAAAATACAAAGGGAAGACTCTCCTTGGCCATGTGTTGGACTGAGTTCCAACAGACAGAAGCTAAACCTGATTTGGCTTTGTGACATTAGGTGGGTCACTTTGTTACTGTGCCGCTGTTTCTTCTTCGTTAAATGGAAATGCTGGTACAGAAGATCCCATTCCTGAGAGTGAACCCTTCAAGACTGCTGTCTTGGAGCAGTTCTGCCTCTACAGCTCTCTACAACGCCCTGTTCAATACGAGGCCTTTGAATTTGCTCCAGAGTTTTAAATTCATCTGCTCCAACAAATCAACCTCATAAAAATGGAAAATTCCCTCTGGATGGTAGAGTGTTTTAAACTGATGACAACTTCAGAATTATGTGCACTGTGGTCCCAGGTAAAGCATTTTATACTAAGCATTAAGATGATGGAGATAGCAACATAGATATGTTTAGTTTATTACTGTGTCATGTATAACTGTGAGCAAATGGCTAAAAGCTGAACAGATTATTACAATCTAAGTAGTATCTTATGGATTAGCAGTTAAAACAATAATGCATCTTTTTCATTGGCCTCTTTATCTCTGGATCTCTTATTTAGACGATGAAACTGACCACTTAGGATCAGATCCAAAAAAGTACTTTAATATCTAACTTCTCTTTAGGTGCCTGCACTCTGATTGAAATCAAAGAAAGATTGGGCCATGAAATACCTTTGCAGTAGATCTAGCATTTCCTTGTAATTTCTGTTTTCTCATCTAGGGCTGTTATCCTTATATTTACAACAGGTTGGGAGAAGAGAGGGATAGGACATTTAAGTTTTTTACTTACTAACTGTTAAATTAAAAAAAAAAAAGAAAGAAAAGAAGAAAAGGAAATGTTTATTTTAAAAATCAGCCTGTTGGAGCTGGGGGAAGAGTTCTGTTGGGAAGTTCCCCTCCGGCTGAGATCGGCTGGCAAAGGCTTGTTCCCAGAATGGTGGTGAGGGTGCAGCTATGGTGAGTTTGACAAATAAGGACATAAGCAAAGAGCCTTTTGCCATGTTGGCTTGTGCTCAACTAAAAAGGAAGAAAAAAAAAAACACAACTGAAAAAAATTCTGGGTAGGAAGAAAAATGAAATCACTGCTTGTCAAAGGGGAGGGGGAAAGGTGTTTTTTTTGTTTGTTTTGTTTTTCTTTTTAAGAAACCAGCAGTCAAAAAAAAAAAAAAAAAAAAGGGAATTCTGAACAGGTCAAGGAGGAAATCAAAAGCAAAAAAGCGTGCTCGACTCTCTCAGAACATCCCATTTCTTTCACTTACAGCATTGGTGGTTTCTTCCCTTGGCGTGAGGCAGGAGCACCCCGGGATGAGAGCGCGTGGGAGTCGTGGGGAAGCTGCCTCTGCCTGTGTCCCGTCGCAAGGCAAGCAGGGGCCATCGTGATAGCCGTATTCCAGAGGCTCCATCCTTCCAGGGGCCCTGATAGCCTTCTGGCTGCCTGCTCCACCTTTGGAATGGCCACTTATGAAATTACAGGCTCAAGCCCCTGAAGAACCTCTAACAAGAAGTTTAATACAAACTCGACTTCAATTTAGCAGTTCCCCGGGCTCTCCTTTGCATGTGCCCAGGCACAGGGGCTTGCCGAGCTCCTCAGCGTGTGCGTGAGGAACCATCTGTGGGTTTTGGTGTGTCGCAGGCACAGTGACCTGCTGTTTGATGGGTTCCTTGCAGGGAAGCAGAGGGAGGCAGCTCTGCTTGTCCAAGGCCTTTGGGGAGGAGAAATGCCGAATGTAGCCTGGAGGATACGTACGCACTGTCCTCCAGGAGCTTCCTTGGGAGAGACCGTCTCTTCCCTCTGCTATGTGGGGGCTTGGGTGCTTGTTGGATTGGTGCAGGAAGAACAAGCGTGACCTTTGCCTACAGGAGGTGCCGTTTTAAATAGTGTCTCTCCTGCGCCGCACTTGGGAAGCGCTGCCGGGCTCTGCTTTTCCTTTCAGCTGCCTTTCTTTTAATGTTTGCAGAAGCCGGAAAGGCCAAGGAGAGCGGAACATGTGTTCAGCCTCCCTCTAGTGCTAGACTTTGTTAATCATCAGCACTGCTGGCCCGGGTGTAGGAGCATCCATAAGGCCGCTCGTGCCGCGAGGGCTGCGGCCTTCCTGCGCGGAGCGGTGGCTCCCGGCAGTGCCACGGCCTGTGCACGGGCGCCCTGCTTGCCAGCCAGGTTTGCAGGGCTCTCTGCAAGACTCCGAACCCCATTTATCAAAATCCGTGCCGTAAGCAACTGCCTTGTATCTAAATGAAGCCGTGTCCAAGGGTGTAAATAAATTACCTGGTATTGTTAACCTTCTTGCTCAAGTCTTTGCTCTACTGGAATGCTCTTGATGCATCGCCCTTCCTCTGGCTTGCTCAGTGTTTGAGAAACAGGAGCCTGCCTCGTTTCGAATTAGGCTCAAACAAATGTGTTAGGCTCCCTGCACGTTTAGCTGCTCGCAGGCTTTCTGTGCAGGTTAGTGTGTGGTCTGTAGCTGGAGTTTCTAGGCACGAAGGTAAGAAAAATCAGTACTACAAAGCATATATAATAATGAATATTTGTTTACGCGATACAGAAAAATGCATGTTGTGTATATGTGTGTGTATGCTTTCATATATGC